TTCTACGCCCGAAAGGAGTGCACGTACAAAGTTTCGTTAAGATATCTCAATTTTTACTCGAGTTATCGTGTGCATAGACGGACGGACGGGCAGACAGTCACCGCTTAATCGATTTCTCTTTTCATTCTGATCATTTATGTATACATTTGTTTATATCTATCTCGATTCGTTTTGTCTGTTACAAACAACCGTTATTGTGCACAAGTGCGCTCGGGTATAAAAATACAATCTGGGATATTCATGGAAACACATAAATGCCTCCTAAATTTCGAAAATTTACGCCTGGTAAACTCACTGTCAAAATTTGTACGAGAATCCGTTTACACAAAAATGCGTGAGTTTAGGCGACGCATTCAGTGCATATAAAATTTGCTAAACTTCCACTAACGATTAACTCGAAACAAAAGTGTTAACAGCCAACTTAATATCATATCATTTGTACTGAAAATAGTCAGCGTTTATTTTTTTTTTAACAAATTTTGCTAATCGATTTACCGATTAGTCGACTAGTCGATTAACAGGAGCTCTACTTTAAAGTCGTCCTCATTTTTTTCGAACATGCATGCTGGCTAGTGTTACTAAATTGGTTTTGAATCCGATGCCAAATGTTCTTGTATTTTGTTCCCGATATCATCTCTGCTACTAGACCAAAAATCTTTGTAGACCCAAAATATGTATGTATGTATGTATGTAGGTAGAATATGATGTTCCCGAGAGAATATGAGAAATTGGTTAGTAGTTAGTTCGAACGCAGAAAAGGATGTAATTGTGTACAAAATATCGCGATGTAAAAAATTTATAAATGCAAAAATCTTACAAATCAGCGGTTAGCAACAAACTAACCAAACAAATATTAATTCTCTTAAGTTTGCATGAAATGTTATCGCTTAAAATTACTAAAAAAATACAAGTTTTCGATTAAAAACGGAAGTTTTTTACTACAGTCCATATAACCTACAGTGACTCAAAAAAGTGTTTACACGTTGATTTTTTTAAATAATGTTTCTCAAGTTAAATATTTTTTTGTTATTTTTATAAAAATATTATTTTTATGCTTTAACAAAAAACATATAAAGCAAAGTTTCATACTTTGTAAAAAGTTTAAAAAAAAAATAACAAAAAAATCATCACCATTTTCTAACTTTTCAATCTGAAAAAATTTTAACTTGTAACAAAAGTTTGAAATTTTGTTGGAATATTTCTAAAATTCTCTAAACGGAAACAAGTTTTTAATTGAAAAACATTGTGGATATTTAAAATAAAAAATCAACATGTGAATATTTGTTTAAATCACTGTATAAGAATAGTAATTCAGATTCCGCAATAATACTAAAGTAAGTAAGCATGTGTACACCATTTCTTATCTTTTTAACTTTTTGTATCGCAGTTATCTTGTTTTGGACTTAAGAGTCACTCTAAATTAATTTAAACAATTTTTTAAAGAATACGTTTAGTCGTTGCTGCTGTAGCGAATCCCACTTTAAAAAGATTTATTACTTTGAAGGTCACGTCGGAGCCAAACTCGTTGAGAAAATATTTGAGAGTTTTTATTTAGCACACTTATTTTACACAATATTATAACCTTTTCCTTTTTATTTTCTTACAGGAATGACACGAAATTTCACCGCAATAATCCTACGGGCAACATTCGAATAGCAACTACCGCTTTCCTAAACGCCTTTCAAGGAGATTTAAACACAGTATTGGGCCATTAAGTTAAGATATTATACCACGCCCTCCCTTGCCGGCAAGCCGAGATAGAAAAAAAACGAGGAACGCTGAAATTGTACGATCCAAAAACACAAATCCCGCACAAATCGAATTCTCTGCTACGATCAAAACCAAAAAAATAAATAAATAAATAAAAATATTAATGGTAAAAAAAAAAGGAATTCTACGAAAAACCGAATGCACCAACTCTAGTAATTAGAGTTACCCTAGATTTATAAGCCGAATAGTTAGCGAAGTATAAGCTTAGATTTGCACTCTCCGTAGCAGCGTGAATGTGACGTGATTTCTTCGTTTGTTGGGCAAACAAAAATTATCAGCAGGCACAAATTTAACGAAAACTCAAAAGTCGACATTTTTGCTAACAAACCAAAAATTAAAGAAAAATAATCAAAAGCAAATACACTTACGCACGTAAAGATCGCACCAAAAATAAGCAACAACCACTAGTAAATACGAGCAAAGTAAAACAATAAATTAAAGAATAGAAATAAAAACGCCTAAATACTATCTTAACTGCAAGCACTTGAAACTTAAGCGCAAAGAACTTAAATCCTAGCTAAGCAACTACAAAATAAGCAACACAGATCAAATAAGCAAACTGCTAACAAGCAATTTTGCGATCATTTCAAATACATTCATACACACACACTCAGTTCCGTCTCAATTAACAACTTATCAACAAAAGCAGCAATACTCATCGCGACGAAGAAGAAGAAGAAGTTGAAAAGTAAACAAGCAAAATATTTAACACATCTCATCTCAAGAACGTCATTATAAACATCCACACCAGAACCAAATCCACAACAGCAGCAGCAACCGCAGCAGCCGCGCCATTATGAATTCAAGCACAAAGCATCTGCTGCATTGCACACTCCTTCTCATTGTGATAATAACATTTGAAGTATTCTCCGGCGGTATTAAAATTGACGAGAACTCATTTACGCTCGTCGATCCATGGACTGAGTACGGCCAAGTGGCCACCGTACTTTTGTACTTACTACGTTTCCTCACTTTCCTAACGCTACCGCAGGTGTTATTCAATTTTTGCGGTCTCGTCTTCTACAATGCCTTCCCCGAGAAGGTGGTGCTAAAGGGTAGCCCCATTTTGGCGCCCTTTATATGCATACGTGTGGTCACGCGCGGTGATTTTGCCGATTTGGTTAAGACGAATGTGTTGCGCAACATGAACACATGTCTGGATACGGGCCTGGAGAATTTCCTCATCGAAGTGGTCACCGATAAGGCAGTTAATTTAGCACAACATCGACGTATACGTGAGATTGTTGTGCCGAAGGAGTATAAAACACGCACTGGCGCACTGTTCAAATCACGTGCATTACAATATTGTCTGGAGGATGATGTGAATGTGTTGAACGACAACGATTGGATTGTGCATTTGGATGAGGAAACTTTGTTGACCGAGAATTCAGTTCGTGGTATTATCAATTTCGTATTGGACGGCAAACATCCGTTCGGACAGGGTCTCATCACCTATGCCAATGAAAATGTGGTCAACTGGCTGACCACATTGGCGGATAGTTTCCGCGTATCAGACGATATGGGCAAGCTGCGATTACAGTTTAAACTGTTTCACAAGCCATTGTTCAGCTGGAAGGGCAGCTATGTTGTTACGCAGGTAAGAAAATGAGAGAGTATCTATGTTGAGGGTGAAGGGGAGGCAATGGCATAAATTTACTAATTTCGGATAAAAGGCAACTAATCTTTTTTCCTGTGGTGACAAGTCTATTTTACATATTAGCACCATTGCAGGAATATGGTACATGCTTTGAAAAATTCAATAAAACATATATGTATGTGCGTATGTATTTTCATATGCACGTACATTTTTGGTTACTTTTACTATGCAATGAGAAAATTCTTTAAAAGTTACTTTCCTTTCTTCTCGCCCCCACACACAGGTTGCTGCTGAACGTCAGGTATCCTTCGACAACGGCATCGACGGTTCTGTAGCCGAGGATTGCTTCTTTGCGATGCGTGCCTTTGCACTAGGCTACACTTTCAATTTCATCGAAGGTGAAATGTACGAAAAATCACCATTTACGCTACTCGATTTCCTCCAACAACGCAAACGCTGGCTCCAAGGCATACTACTCGTGGTACATTCAAAAATCATACCACTAAAACATAAACTCTTGCTTGGCATCAGCGTCTACTCGTGGGTCACTATGCCACTATCCACTTCGAATATTATATTTGCCGGCCTCTATCCAATACCATGCCCGAATTTAGTTGATTTCGTTTGTGCTTTTATTGCTGCCGTCAACATTTATATGTATGTATTCGGTGTGATAAAATCATTTTCGCTATACCGTTTTGGGCTGTTAAAATTTATGGCTTGTGTGCTGGGCGCCATTTGCACTATACCCGTGAATGTGGTTATCGAGAATATTGCCGTCATTTGGGGTTTATTTGGCAAGAAGCATAAATTCTATGTGGTACAAAAAGATGTGAGAGCAATGGAAACAGTTTGAGCACGGAGTGTAGTGGAGAGGGATCGTCACATTTTTTCAGCACATATTTTGGTTATCGCGGTATGATGACCATACAACAAACGTGCAGGTGAGGGTATGTGTTTGTTAAAACAGCGCGTGTGTTTTTGGTAGCAAATGGAACTAATGTAAAAAGAAAAGTAGTTTGATAAAGTTTGGTTGCGTGGTGTATGATGAAATTCCCATTCACACTCTTTCAAGGTTACCGAGCTGACCTTTAATCGATAAAGTTTTATTTCTGCTAATGATTTTTTTTACATACATTATAAAGGCTCTAACAGACCTTTTTGTTTCTTTACAGACTTGTCGAAAAAAAATAATACAAATGCAAGGTCTTTCTTCCAATTGCTGTATTTATTAAAGACTAACTAACTTAATGCTGTATTTGATGATTTTAAAGTCAGTTGTACCATTCAAGAAAATTAGTTGGGGCCTTTTTATATTAAGGCAGCTATATTTCATTTCATTTATTAAGAGAAAAAAACATTAGTACAATAAGATCATAGATCTTTTATAGTACAAAACAGAGATTAAAAATACCAGTAAAATAAAATACATACACATTAATTAAAACAAAAATAAAATAAAATATATACCACATTATACATATGTCGCAAAGATCAACACAGATGACAAGAGAAAGTTAAACATTTAGATAGCGAAACCCAGACTCACAAATTAAAAAAAAAAATAATAATAATAATAATAAATAAATAAATATTTGGTTCAGAGAAAGTACGTATAGGTGGTGTTCATAAAGTTGCTTTTCGTTGAACTTTTTTGAATTTATTCTGCAATAGATTAAACAAATTTATGTAATCACCAGATCATATATGTTAGGTACTTTTTCCACACAAATTTTTAATCGTCATTTTCTTTCCTTTCCTTACTTGCAGAATGTGTTCTCCAGGGAGAATCGACTACAACAACTACCAAACAACCAACACTTCTGGTGCGATACTCAGCCTATACAAATTTTGCCCTACGCCATTGACGCCGACATCCGATTAGCTGTTGTTGTCATTTGTCGTCGCCTGAACACATCCATTGTAGTTGCTATTGCCACAGCCACTAAACATTCTCCTGCGCACTTTTCACTTTTTGGTCATATCCTAATTAATACTTAACAAATAAAAAATCACGCATATACGCGCCAACACTCACACCTGCAACACCATCAACAACCACACACCAACACTTCGTATACCATTACGCAAAGAGCACAAACCCATTTACGAAATTAGTTCACTCACACTTGTAGCATAAAAATCGTTGTATTTTATATTATATAATTACAATTAGGTGAAAATATTTTTTATTATATTATTATTGTATGTTATACAAAGAAGAAGATTGCATAAGTTGTGTGTATAGTCAACTAAAAATAATGTTGATTAGAGAGTTAATTTTGTTGAACAATTCTATCAGGCGCTAGGTATTTACGTACATACATATGTACATATAGAAATTTATAGCAAATATTTGTAAAGGTATACATATATGTAGCACTCAATAATGTAACCATATTTGAGCGAGTAAGCTAGAAATAGGCATACTCGGACTACATATTTGTAGTGTAAATTCCATTGATTAACTATAATGTACAGGCAGGCCGCTTTAGTTGGAAAACTTTGTACTCTGAATGGTTTCGGCAAAATGTGTCTGATCCAAAGGACATCTATCTACTTCACACACATTTCCCTACATCTTAACCGTTTTATACATACATATTTTTGTACAATATTGAGTTTTAATCGCTCTTGGAGTTATTTTCTTTTGTAATTTTTTTATTCTCTGCAGGTATTTATTGTTTAAGTAAAACATAATAGTTGAAAAAAAAACTTTATAAAAAAGCCGTAAAAATTTAATTAAAGAAAAAACATCCCACAGCAGTGGGGTCTACGTAACCGAAACTTATATATCGCCAAGGACTGTAACTCCAGCATCGTTCCTCAAAAACTCTTTGTGGAATTTGTATGCTGCTACAACAAGAACAACATCCCAATTGTTGCAAAAATAGAAAATGTAACTAAAAATAAACAACAAGAAAACCCGAAAATAAGCTTTAACAAGTTAAATGAAAAGTTATGTATATATTATTTTCTAAATATTTTTTTTTCTTTTTTGATATACAACCTCTTATTATTTTTATATTGTATCGTTGTCGCACTAGCCTTAGGTGTAAAAAAGTAAAGCAAAAACTTTAAATCATCCCATTCGACAAAGTTAAGTTACATTCAATTGTTAACACACATACAACACAAAATATTAAAAATTGAAATAAAACAACAACAAAGTATTACCATAAAACGCTCTTTTTTGTTACAACTCATATTCGTTTCACTTACAATTTTGGTGGTATGTACTAGTACATATCGTCGCACCCAAAGAAGAGTAGCACATCTCAAATTACCGTGGAAGACTAGCACTTTCACTATTTGCGTGGAAGACTAGCACATTTCATTATTTGCGTGGAAGACTAGCAGGTTCGCGTATTTCTTAGGGAATCTATTCATATATACGAGAAACATATATATACATGCAGCGGCAATATCAAGAGCACCTCATTTCAAATTGATTTTGTTTTCCGCTTATGTTTATTTATTTATTTTTAAGAATTTTCATTAAAATAAAGTTCATTCTCAAATAAAATCCGTATAAACCCAAGTTTAAAACTTTGTAGAAAACTAAAAAAATTCAACAAATTTTCATTCAAATTTCAAACTTATTTTCTACCGTTGTTACGGTTTTCTTCCATATAAAAATAAATTGTGTTTATTCGTTATATGGGAGCAAATGCGACAAAAATAATCAACGGTAATTTTAAGACTCTTGAAACTTGCACATTATAACACTAAAATTGAATGGGCCATAAAACTGCATACTCAAAAAAATTATAACACTTCTGAGCAAAAAAGTTTGAAATTTGTATGAAAATTAGTCGATTTTTTTTTTAATTTCTGCAAAGTTTTAAACGTGGATTTACATGGTTTTTTTAATTTACTTTATTTTAAAAATTTTCAATGGATAACCATAAAACAATATGATTTGCATAAAGCTTATAAGGGAAAAATACCTTTAAAAAAAGAAAAGTGGATGATCTTTAGCAAATGATCACTAAACGGTATATCGATAGCTGAGTAGAAGATCGACCTATCTCGGCAGCCAGTTCGAAAACGCCATATCTCAGAAAATTTTTCAACAACGCTCTATCTCAGAAAACTTTTCAAGAACGCCCAACTTCAGAATTCGATTGAAAACGCCCTATCTCAGCTTACTCTCAATGTATTTTCGTTTGGGATAGGGCATTTTTGAACCGAAATCTGAGATAGGACGTTATTCAACCAAATTCTGAGAAAGGGTGTTTTTCAATAAAATTCTGAAATAGGGCGTTCTTGAAAAGTTTTCTGAGATAGGGTGGGTTTGAACTGGCTGCCGAGATAGGTCGATCCTCCACTCAGCCATCGATATACCGTCTGAATTTCATGATTTTATAATACAATTATAGAAACATAAAATAAACGCTTGAATTTTCCACATAAATTATGTTTTTATGATTTACTTTAAACCTTAAATGTCCTACTTTTCCACGCAAAAATCTAAAATGTGCTAGTCTTTGACGCGAATAGTGAAATGTGCTACTCTTCGTAGGGACCAACGATATGTACTATGCAATATGTATGACTATTTTTATAAGCAGCTGTTGCTCCGCTGCAATTTATTTTTAAATATGCATAAATAAATATGCACATATCCGCTTATTTGTTCCTTGAATTTCTTTATTAATTAATTAGAAATAGATCAAACCCAAAGAAATGTAAAAAAAATATGTTTAAATTACAAAAAATTTTACTGCTCCAGGTGAGGCTCGAACTCACAACCCCGGCATTGCTCACTAGTTACTGATTATAAGTACCGTGCGCTAACCAATTGCGCCACTGGAGCTATGTTCGTTCGCGGGCAAAATGCGTACATAAGCACCGGCTCAATGCCCAATCGCGCAGAATGCATTAAGAAGCAATCACAGGTTTAGGGTTGCCATTGCGGTTTAACAACCGCTCTTTGATGCAATTCAAAATCAACTCTGTGTGTTTTTGATTCCAAACCGATTAGGATGTCAGTCATAAATAAACAAAGGAAAAATAAATAAAAATAAAAACGATTGCAAAAATAATTAAATGTTGTAGTTTAGTAAAAAGCAATGAGTTGGTTCGAGGCGAAGGGTCTAAATTGGGCGAAAAGTGCAATAAAAGAAGCAGTCGCTTCCATCGACAAAGCACTGGATATACAAGATGAAAATACTGGTGGTGAAAAAAGTATGCAAGTCGAAAAGTCTTCATCGCCGAATACGACGTCAGCTGGTGGCGCTGTGCGAAAACAAAAGCTCCCAGGAGCTGCAAATCGCGATCGAAGTAACAGCCACAATGTGGTTACATCGCAAACTAGTATAGAAGCCAGTAGTCCTACCGCAACAGTAAGCTCTGTGACTACAATATCCTCTCCCACATCGGCAGCGCCTTTGGTCTCATCAACATGGGGCTCCTTCACAGGTTCATTCTTCGAAAACCCAAATGTACAACAAACAATTACAGCGCCACCGCGTACCAGTGCGAGTAGTGTCGACATGCATGCTGTTGCTATAAAGTCGCAAAGCGATTTAACAACTATTCCAGGAGCAGGTGGTGCCGACTCGCCGACTACACATCGACCATCTATTACTTCGACTACAACATCCGATTCTGTAGAATTGTTGTCTCCGCCTATTTCCAGTAGTTCAGAGCAGCAGTTACCCGCTGCTGGCGCCAATTACGCAGATAATAATGACGGATCTGCTTCTGTAGAAACCATTAGTGCAACGCCAACATTGGAAAGTGAGGTAGGGAATAAAGATATGTGTATGTCTGTAAGTGCCTCACTGCCAGATAGCATTGTAATTATAACGGAAAAAGAGGAATACGACAAGGACGAAGATTCGATATCATATAAAACGATTGTGGGGGAATCTATCGATGCCACAGAAAATGAAGGTATTTTTTTTGCAATATTCGTTGACAAGCTTTTTTTTTATACTGTACATTTTAGAAAGCAATATACACCCCGCGCCAACACATTTTTCAAACACTATTGGGCAGCCAGCTAATTCGACCAGTTGTTCGCCGAGCCAAAAAATGATAATTTCTTTAGAAGATATAACTGGGTCCCATCATGCCGATTCGGATTCCACACAAAGTTTTGAAGACGTACAAATGCAGACAAGTTGCGTCGTTAGCCAATACTTGGAAAAAGCACAGACGGTTTCTCCAGCATCTGATGACCAAACAGATCCATTGAATTCCAAATCAAATTCATCGCCTCACAATTCCAACGATGAAATGGAAACTACAACATCATCAGATATAGAAATCATTTCTAATCCCAATGGCAATGGCGACTCCTCCAGCACGAATAGTTTGACGCGCGCCAGCCCCTTAAAGTGGAAAAAGCAAAGTAACCAGGGTGGGGCGCAAACGAGCAGTGTGCCTTCTTCAAGAAAAGGCCACTTTCGAGGTCCGTCAGAAATATCTATATTATCTGAAGACTCGCAATCAGAATTAGATAAACTTTTGCATCGCATAAGCGAACTAAGTGAAACCTTAGAAGCACGTGAGCTACGTTTGCTGCAATTGGAACGTCAAAACATGGAATTGCAAGAGCGCAACAGGGAAATCGAGAGCATGCTGGAAACAATAAAATCTAATAGCGGCAGCATTGATAACGCAGAGGGCTACACGCAAAGATTATCCGCACTGGAGAAGAAATTTCAAGCCAGCATACGCGAGCGAGACGCGCTACGTATACAAATTAAAGATCTGAAAGAAGAACTGCAGCTGAAAATACCTAAAGAGCAGTTGACAGAGAGCACCATAATGATCGAGGAATTGAGGCTGGAAGGTGAAAAGCTCTCAAAGGAAATCCTCCAGCAGTCTAACATCATTAAAAAGCTCCGTACAAAAGAAAAAACTACTGATGCCACATTGAAAAAGAATAAGGAAGAAATTACGAGCTTGTCAGATGAACTTGATCGCCTCAAGAAAACCTTAAATGCCAAGGAGGAAGTGGAGCGCTCACAAATAGAAGCAGTGCATAAAATGTCTTCCGAAAAACGAAAACTTGAAGACGAAAATGCACAGCTGCGTAGTAAATTGGAAGATTTACAATCAAAGTGGGCCACTTTGCAGTCAAGCTTCGAAGCAGCAAAGTCGGAATTGCAGCAACGTACACGCCAACACACCGATCTAACACGCACCGCTGAAGAAGCGATTGCCGCAAAGAAAGAACGCGAATTGCTAAAGACGGAGAATCAAGAAATTTTGGTGCAGTTGGGGGAATTGCGCGAAAAATTGCGTGGCACCGAGCAGGCGACAGTGAAGCGAGAACAGCAGTTGCGCGAAGAGAGCAAGGAACTAATGAGACGTTTGGAAGCGGCGGAAATGCGTGCTGAAAGAACTACACAGGAGGCGAGTTTGACGACGGTTCCACTAATGCGACAACTAGAATCCCTACAAAATACGTTGACCCAGCGAACCAGCAACTGGAATCAAGAGGAAAAAATACTTCTAGATAAGTTGGGTAAGCTAGCTGACTTGTCCTGAATAGTACGTAAAATTAAAATTTTTTCCATATTCAGCGGTAGCGCAAAGTAAATTAAAATCCTTAGAAAGTTTGGAGTCTAAATATGAAGAGCGTGTCGAATTGCTACTGAAGCGTTGCTCTGAACTGGAAAAAACTCTTTCACATTCGCTGCTGCAAGAAGAAAAAGCGAAAATGGCTTCGCAGCAAGCGCAACTGGAATATAGTATGAAGGAAAGTGGCCTGAAAAAGTAAGAGATGTTTAAAACTCGTTTAAAATCATCTCTTTTAAACGAATATTGTTTTTCCGCAGAGAGTTAGCTAATCTTACTAAAGAACTTGAAGAGCTTACAGCAAAAGTGGAGACTTTGGAGCTTAAAAATAAGGTATTAGAAGAGAAGCTGCGTACAAAAGCTGAAGAGAAAGCGCAAAGTTGTATCGGCGGCGATAATTTGACTCAAACTGGAAGTGAGACACAGCGCATAGTTTCGCTTTCGGCAGCAACGTTTTCGCCTCATGAATTAGCCCGCCAGCAATCGTTAGAGCAATCTCATCGCTCACAGTCACCGGCGATGAGTTTTGAGCGAAATTCGCCAGAGGAAACAATAGAAGGCGGCAGCATAGATTGGCAGGCAGTGAGTAAAGTACATATTTAAGTGGGAAAGAATTAATAAGTTTCTATTCACCTCAACTTTGCAGGAAGATATCGACTGCATTTCGAATTCCGGCCGCCATATGGGTAATCTCGCCTATGGCATAAATATGAGTTTTATGGGGCATAATACGTCCACGCTGGAGCATTTACAATCGATGTTAAAACAGCGTGACGGAGAACTAGTACATATACAATGGGAGTTGGCACGGTTGCAAGAGGGACGCAGTGTGCTGGCAGAAGAAATTGCTGCTTTAACGACGGAACTAGAAGCCGTGAGTATTATCTTTTATATTCAAAATATTGACTCTTAAAACTTATTATCGCATTTCTGATAAGGCAAAGGAAAAATTACTTTCCTACGAGTCACTGGAACAGAATTACGAAGAACTACAACGTAACTATGACGCACTACTGCAAATGTACGGTGAAAAGGTTGAGCGCACCGAAGAGCTTGAATTGGATCTGAAGGAAGCGCGAGAAGCGTATAAGACGCAAATCGATGAACTGCTGGCCCAACCCCCGCGACCCACATGATACTTGCAGTACACTGAAGTGAGTCGAATCGCTCACTAAGTCAACTTGTTATTTAATTCCGTTTTAGTTATAATTGTAATTAGGGTACTGTATGTATGTAGTTATGTTATATCCAATATTTTAACCGAAATATTGCTGTGTTGTGAATTTCAGCTACAAGAAAGAAAAGTTTAATTTAATAAACTCATTGGAATAATTTAATTCTTATAATTGCAATTTATTTCGTATTGGCGTTAAAAATAAAATTTGAAAAAAAAA